AGAGTCCTAGTCATTTTCCTCCAAAATTGTATCTTGAAAGATTCCAAAAATATAAAATCACTGAAAGGAATTAATGAACATCTGAGTACCCACAAACAAGATTATATCATTAACATTTTACTAGGGGTGCCTGGGTGGCTCAGTGGATTCAGCCGCTGCCTTCAGCTCGGGTCATGATCTCAGTGTCCTGGGATCGAGCCCCGCATCGGGCTCTCTGCTCAGCGGGGAGCCTGCTTCTCTCTCTCTCTGCCTGACTCTCTGCCTACTTGTGATCTCTCTTTCTGTCAAATAAATAAATAAAATCTTAAAAAAAAAACATTTTACTAGACTTGTGTTATCCACATACGTGCCCATCTATCCATCCTTCTATTGATGTAGTAATCAATCATAGTTTTTTTGTCATATAATTTTTCAATGCATTTCAATGTTAACTGAATAAAATCAATACACCTCACCCTAAATACGTCTGCATGTATATTATTAGGTAGAGTTCAATGGTTGTTTTACAGTCTTTTTTTTTTTTCCCCTGTCAAGGTAGGTACAAGTCATATACGTTTTAGAGTTCTATGCAAGTGGAATCATGCACTTTTCACTGTTTTTGATCTGGCTTCTTTCACTCAGCACAATTATTTTAAGATTCATCCATGTTGTTGAATATCAATAGTTTCTCCCTTTTTATTGTGGGGTAGTATTCCATTTTATGTTACTATCACAATTTGCTTACCATTCACCTGTTGCTGGATCTTTGGGTTGTTTCCAGTTTTTTGGCTTTATAAATAAAGTTTCTATGAACAGTCATGTGTAAGTTTTTGCATGGACATAGATTTCTTTTCTCTGGATAAATACCTAAAATTGGAATAGCTGGATCATAGGGTAAGTGTATGTTAACTTTTTAAGAAACTACTGAACTATTTCTACTGACAGTTTCGGTTTGCTCCACATTCTTGTTGATGCTTGATATGATCAGTCTTTGCATTATAGTTATTCTGATAGGTATAGAGTGCTATCTGATTGTGGTTTATTTGTAATTAAACCATATTTTCATGTTCTTATTTTCCATCCATATACCTTCTTTGGTGAAGAGTCTGTTCAGATCTTTTGCCCATCTTTTAATTGGATTGTTTGCTTTTCCTCTTGAGTCTTCAGCGTTCTTCATCCTAAATCAGACATAGGCTTTGCAAGGATTTTCTCCCAGTTGATTGCTTATCTTGAGTGCCTTTTGGGGCGCCTGGGTGGCTCAGTTGGTTAAGGGTCTGCCTCCAGCTGGAGGCAGCTGGGGCTGTGATCTCGAGGTCCTGGGATTGAGCCCCATGTCAGGCTCCCTGCTCAGCGGGGAGCCTGCTTTTCCCTCTCCTTCTGCCTCCTCCCCTGCTTATGCTCCCTCTGTCTCTCCCTCTTAAATGAGTAATTTTTTTTTAAACTGCCTTTTGAAAAGTATACTTTTTTATTTTGGTGAGGGCTAACTTAAACATTTTTTTTTCTTTCATGGATTGTCCTTTTGGTGTTGAATCTAAGAAGTCTTTGCCCTAACTGAAAGTCACAAAGATTTTCTCCTGTGTTTTCTTCTGGAAGATTTATAGTTTTAGAGTTTATATTAAGGTCTAGGATGCATTTGGAGTTATTTTTTGTATATGGAATGAGATATGGATCAAAGTATTTTGGTGGGGGATATGGATAAATTATTCCAGCACAATTTGTTGAAAGGGTACCTTGGCTCCATTGAATTACTTTAGTGAATTTGTACAAAAGTCAATTGTCCAGGGGTGTCTGGATGGCTCAGTCATTAGGTGTCTGCCTTTGGCTCAGGTCATGATCCCAGGGTCCTGGGATCAAGCCAGGAATCAGACTCCCTTGCTCAGCAGGAAGCCTGCTTTTTCTTCTCCCACTCTCCTTGCTTGTGTTCCCTCTCTCACTGTGTTTCTCTCTGTCAAATAAATAAAATCTTAAAAAAAAAAAGAAGAAGTCAGTTGTCCATATATGTGTGTGTATTTCTGCGTTTCCTATGCTATTTAACTGATCAGTTTGCCTGTCTTTACAAGATTAAATTATTGTGTTTTTTTTTAAAGATTTTATTTATTACCAAAGAGAGGGCACAAGCAGGGGGAGTGGCAGGCAGAGGGAAAAGCAGGCCCCCTGCTGAACAAGGAGCCCGATGTGGGACTCAATCCCAGGACCCTAGGATCACAACCCAAACCTAAGGTAGACGCTTAACCAACTGAGTCACCCAGGTGTCCCAAGATTACATTGTTTTTGATTACTCTTTTATTTTTTTTAAGATTTTGACAGAGAGGGGCGCCTGGGTGGCTCAGTGGGTTAAGCCTCTGCCTTCGGCTCAGGTCATGATTCCAGGGTCCTGGGATCGAGCCCCACATCGGGCTCTTTCCTTGGTGGGGAGACTGCTTCCTCCTCTCTCTCTCTGCCTGCCTCTCTGCCTACTTGTGATCTCTCTCTGTCCAATAAATAAATAAAATCTTAAAAAAAAAAGATTTTGACAGAGAAATAGCGAGAGAGGGAACATAAGCAGGGGGAATAGAAGTGGGATAAGCAGGCTTCCCCTGCTTCCCGATGTAGGGCTCAATCCGAGGACCCTGGTATCATGACCTGAGCTGAAGGCAGACGCTTAGCGACTGAGCCACCAAGGTGCCCCAATTACTCTTTTATAACAAGACTTGAGATCACTGTAGTGGTAGCTCTCTACTTTGTTCTTCTTTTTCAAAGTGTTTTGACTATTACAGGTCCTTTGCATTTCCATATACAGCTTGTTAATTTCTACAAAAAAGTGTTGGGATTTAGTGTGGATCACATAGACCAAAAAGAATTGCTATCTTAACAATATTGAGTCTTCTAATCAATGAGCAAAGTATAGCTCTCAGTTTGTTGAGAGTACTCATTTTTCATTCTTCTTGGTTTTCAGTGCACATGTCTTTCATATCTTTTGTTAGGTTTATCGCCAAGCATTTCATTGTTTGGTATTTTTGTAAATGTTTTTTAAACATTTTAATTTTTAATTATTTGTTGCTAGAATACAGAAGTACAACTGATTTTTTTTATGTTGATATTGTGTTTTATAACCTTGCTAAATGCCCTTATTGGTTCTACTAGCGCTTTTGCAGACTTCATTGGACTTTTTACATAGACGATTTGTGTATTCTGTGGGGAAAAAAAAAAAGAATTTTATTTCTTCTGGGGATGGTAATTCTGGTCCTTGTTACTCCATCTTGGCTGAAAGCAGAAATCCTCCACACAGTTTTTATTTCTGATTTTAAGCAAAATCAACACTGTGGCTACAGGAAATAATAGATAATTTTAGAGTTGTCATGGAAGCTCTCTGGTCCTGAGACCAAGACAAGGACCTGGGAGTTAAAGGACCCGAGTTTGTCATTTTCCCTCTGTAAACAACCAGTGCACTTGGAAGGGCTCGTCCCACAGTACAGTTCTCATAGTTATCATTATTGATACAACAGTCAAGTGGAATAGCCACGTGGGCGCCCCAAAAACACATGCTTTAGTTAATATGTACTCATCAAATCAGCCATAGGTGACAAGCCATAGGTGACATTTTGATTAACTGTAACACCACTGTACATCATGGATTATTAATATCCTATTTCCCATTTTTTAAAAGATTTTATTTATTTATTTGAGAGAAAGAGAGAGGGAGCAGGAGCAGGAGAGGGGCAGAGGGAGAGGGAGAGTCTGAAGCAGACACCCCACTGAGTGTGGAGTCCTACTCAAGTCTCATGACCCTGAAGTCATGACCTGACTGGAGACCAAGAGCCGGAGCCTCAACCCACTGAGCACCGAGGGATACCCCTCACCCCCATTTCCCATTTTCAAGGAGCTCCAACCCAATGGCATGACCAAACAAATCCCGAAATTCCACACTTGTGGGTCTATCTCCAGGCACCTCTCTTGGTACTAATTCTCTATCAGTCAGGATTCAATCATGAGGCAGAAAGAGTCATTTAAACAGGGAAGTTTTTACATACGAATGATGAACTATTTACATGGGATTATTACTACGTATGAATAAAAGAGAACTCAAGGGACGCCTGGGTGGCTCAGTCAGTGGGTTGAAGCCTCTGCCTTCTGCTCAGGTCATGATCACAGGGTCCTAGGATAGAGGCCTGCATTAGGCTCTCTGCTCCGCGGGGAACCTGCTTCCCCTCTTTCTCTCTGCCTGCCTCTCTGCCTACTTGTGATCTCTCTCTCTCTCTCTGTCAAATAAATAAATAAAATAAAATAAAAAAAAGAGAGAGAGAGAGAGAACTCAAAAAATACCAAAGGCTGAGGAGAGTACCGAAGAAAGTAACAAAGTTAAAAAGTGGGTGCCCTCCTCCCAGCTGGGATTCAGACTTCATTGGAGAGATGTGACCGCAGCACCGTGGACGGTCGAGAGAAGTTTGCTGGGTTGCCCCAGGGCGGAGCGACCCATAGCCAGTGGGTGGAGGCTGGTTGAGGGGGGAGGGTGCGGGGGCTGGTAGGGTAAGCGGGGAAACCCATCTACTGAAGTGCTGGTTGCTAAGGCTGTCAGGCAGGGAACCACCAACTGGGACTGGCAAGCTGGCAGTTCAATGTCACTGGGTGTCCCGTGCCCTGCTGCCTACCACAACCAGCAGAACAACAACAACGACAAACGAAACCACACACACAAACGACAAAAACAAACAACAAACCCACCACACACACACAGAGGAAACAAGAAAAGCCCCTACTTCCTAAGGTATTCCTCTAACGCCCTCTACTGGCAAGAAAAAATGTTTACCAGTTCCAACCCCAGTAGCAAGCAAAGCAATTAATAGATTCGGAATCAAGAGGCAATACACTGGTTAACTGGCACACTGTACTGTTAGCCATCTACTTTTTCACCAGCATGGACTTAGAGTAAAAAGAAAAAAAAAAGGACAGTTTCCCTTAAGGATGTTCTTGTTGAAACAATCAAAATTATCCATCTTATTAAATCTCAACCCTTGAATACATATCTTATTAATATTCTGCAGCATTATTTGACAAGAGTTGAAGTGACAGAATTTGAAGATATTAAATCAGGTTACAGAATAGATTTTTATTTTGATGAAAACCCTTACTTCGAAAATAAAGTTCTCTCCAAAGAATTTCATCTGAATGAGAGTGGTGATCCATCTTCAAAGTCCACTGAAATCAAATGGAAATCTGGAAAGGATTTGACGAAACGTTCAAGTCAAACACAGAATAAAGCCAGCAGGAAGAGACAGCATGAGGAACCAGAGAGCTTCTTCACCTGGTTTACTGACCATTCTGATGCAGGTGCAGATGAGTTAGGAGAGGTCATCAAAGATGATATTTGGCCAAATCCATTACAGTACTACTTGGTTCCCGATATGGATGACGAAGAAGGGGAAGGAGAAGAGGATGATGATGATGATGAAGAAGAAGAAGGATTGGAAGATATTGATGAAGAAGGAGATGAGGATGAAGGTGAAGAAGATGAAGATGATGATGAGGGGGAGGAAGGAGAGGAGGATGAAGGAGAAGATGACTAATGGAACACTGATGGATTCCAACCTTCCTTTTTTAATTTTCTTCAGTCCCTGGGAGCAAGTTGCCGTCTTTTTTTTTTCCTTTTTCTTTTTCTTTTCTCCTCTCGTGCTCATTTGCCCTGTTTTTTGAAGTCTCCTTTTTCTCTCCCTTTATACCATGGTTCTCAGCTTATTTTGGGGGGAAATACCTTGAGCAGAATACAGTGGGAAAAGAATCTCTACCCCTTTTTGTTCCAAATTCATTTTTGTCCCTTCCTGTCTCAACAAAAACAAAAACTTTATGGAATCAACACCACCGTGCTCTGTGGGAAAAAAGAAAAACCTTCTGCTCCCTTAGCTCTGCTGGAAGCTGGAGGGTGCTAGGCCCCTGTGTAGTAGTGCATAGAATTCTAGCTTTTTTCCTCCTTTCTCTGTATATTGGGCTCAGAGATTACACTGTGTCTCTATGTGAATATGGACAGTTAGCATTTACCAACATGTACCTGTCTACTTTCTCTTGTTTAAAAAAAAGAAAAGAAAACTAAAAAAAATGGGGTTATAGAAGGTCAGCAAAGGGTGGGTTTGAGATGTTTGGGTGGGTTAAGTGGGCATTTTGACAACATGGCTTCTCCTTTGGCATGTTTAATTGTGATGTTTAACGGACATCCTTGCAGTTTAAGATGACACTTTTAAAATAAAACTCTCTCCTAATGATGACTTGAGCCCTGCCACTCGATGGGAGAATCAGCAGAACTTGTAGGATCTTATTTGGAATTGACATTCTCTATTGTAATTTTGTTCCTGTTTATTTTTAAATTTTCTTTTTGTTTCACTGGAAAGGAAAGATGATGCTCAGTTTTAAACGTTAAAAGTGTACAAGTTGCTTTGTTACAATAAAACTAAATGTGTAAAAAAAAAAATGGGGAGTACGGATGAAGCTGTCATGTTGCATAATGAAGAATGGTTATCTCAAGGAAAGACACGTGTGAGATGGAGGTGTGAGTTGCACTAACCTTTCTTTTATGGAGCACCATTTTTACTCATAAGAATGAAGAACAGGGACGCCTGGGTGGCTCAGTTGGTTAAGCAGCTGCCTTCGGCTCAGGTCATGATCCCGGCATCCTGGAATCGAGTCCCACATCGGGCTCCTTGCTCGTCGGGGAGCCTGCTTCTCCCTCTGCCTCTGCCTACCATTCTGTCTGCCTGTGCTCGCTCTCTCTCCCTCTCTCTCTCTGACAAATGAATAAATAAAATTTTAAAAAATGAAGAACAGATTATTTTATCTAGAATTGGGTATCTACCTGGCAGACTTTATTTTAATCCCAGTGTAGTTAACATACAGTGTCATATTAGTCTCAGGTGTGCAACATAGTGATTCAACAATTTTTTAAAGATCTTATTTATTTATTTGACAGAGAGAGAGATCACAAGTAGGCAGTGAGGCAGGCAGAGGGAGAGGGGGAAGCAGGCTCCCCGCTGAGCAGAGAGCCCGATGTGGGGCTCGATCCCAGGACCCTGAGACCATGACCTGAGCAGCAAGCAGAGGCTTAACCCACTGAGCCAGCCAGGTGCCCCTCGACAATTCTATACATTACTCAGTGTTCATCAAGATAGTTGAACTTTTTTTTTTTTTAAGATTTTAATTTATTTGACAGAGAGATACAGAGAGAGCACAAGTAGAGCAGCAGGCAGAGGGAGAGGGAGAAGCAGGTTCTCTGCTGAGCAGGGAGCCTGATGTGCGTCTTGATCCTGGAACCCTGGGAACATGACCTGAGCTGAAGGCAGACACTTAACCGACTGAGCCACCAGGCACCCACTACAGGTGTACTCTTGATTCCCTTTGCTTATTTCACTCACCCTTACCCACCTCCTCTCTGGTAACCACCAGTTTGTTCTCTGTATTTAAGAGTCTGCTTTTGAGTTGTCTCTTTTTTTCTTTGTTCATTTCTTTCTTTCCGCATATGAGTGAAATAATATAGTATTTCTCTCTTTTTTTTTTAAAGATTTTATTCATTTATTTGACAGACAGAGATCACAAGTAGGCAGAGAGAGAGAGAGAGAGAGGAAGAGAAGCAGGCCTCCTGCTGAGCAGAGAGCCCGATGTGGGGTTCGATCCCAGGACCCGGGGATCATGACCTGAGCCGAAAGCAGAGGCTTTAACCCACTGAGCCACCCAGGCGCCCCTAGTATTTCTCTTTTTCCAGCTGACTTATTTCACTTAGCATTCTACCCTCTAGATCCACCGGTGTTCTTGCAAATGACAAGACTTCATTCTTTTTTTATGGCTGAGTAATATATCCCACATCATCTTTATCCATTCATCTACTGATGTATATCTGGGTTGGTTCCTTATCTTGGCTATTGTAAACAATGCTGCAATGAACACACGGGTGCATATATTTTTTTGAACTAGTGTTTTTGTATTCTTCGGGTAAATACCCCAGTGGTATGATTACTGGATTGTTGGGTAGTTCTACTTTTAACTTTTGGAGGAAACTCCATACGGTTTTCCACAGTGGCTGAACCAGGGTGCATTCCCACCAACAGTGCATGAGGGGTCCCTTTTTCTCCACATCTTCGCCAACACCTGTTGTTTCTTGTGTTTTTTTATATTAGCCATTCTGACGGGTGTGAGGTGGGATCTCACTGGGGTTTTGATTTGCATTTCCCCAATGATGACGAGTGATGTTGAGCATTTTTTCACGTGTGTGTTGACCATCTATATGTCTTCCTAGGAGAAATGTCTGTTCATGTCTTCTGCCCGTTTTTAAATTGGGTTTTCTTTAAGTGTTGTGTTCTATCTGTTGTTTACATATTTTGGATGTTAACCCCTTATCAGAGATGTCATTTGCAGATATCTTCTCCCATTCAGTAGCTTGTCTATTTGTTTTCTTGATTGTCTCCTTGACTGTGCAGAAGATGTAGTTGCGATAGTTAATTTTTGCTTTTGTTTTCCTTGCCTGAGGAGACATAACTAGAAAAATGTTGCTATGGCTGACGTCAGAGAAATTACTGCCTGTGCTCTTTTCTAGGATTTTTATGGTCTGACATATAGGTCTTTAATCCATTTTGAGTTTGTGGTGTGGCGAAAGTGGTCCGGTTTCATTCTTTTTCGTGTAGCTGTCTAGTTTTCCCAATGCCACTTGTTGAAGAGATTGGCCCATTGCACATTCTTGCCTCCTTTGTCATAGATTAATTGATCATATAATCATGGGTTTATTCCTGGGGTATTCTGTTTCATTGACCTGTGTGTCTATTTTTGTGCCAGTACCATATTGTTTTGATTACTATAGCTTTGTAGTATGTCTTGAAATCTGGGATTGTGATACCCCCCAGATTTATTCATTTCAAGATTGCTTTTGTTATTCAAGATCTTTTGTGATTCCACACAAATTTTAGAATTGTTGGTTCTAGTTCTGTGAAAAATGCTCTTGGGATTTTGGTAGGCATTGCATTAAATCTGTAGATTGATTTGGGTAGTAGGGACATTTTTAACAATATTTGTTATCCCAATCCATGAGTATGGAATGATATCTTTCCTTGCATCATCTTCAATTTTGTTCATCACTGTTTTATAGTTTCCAGGGTACAAATTTTTCACCACTTTAAGTTTTTTCCTAGGAATTTTATAATTTTTGGTGCAATTTTAAATGGGACTGTTTTCTTAATTTCTCTGCTCTTTCATTATTAGTGTATAGAAATGCAACAGATTTCTATATATTGATTTTGTACCCTGTGATTTTACTGAATTCACTTATCAGTTTTAGTAGTTTTTTGGTGGAGACTTTAGTGTTTTCTATATATAGTGTTATGTTGTCTCTAGCAGACTTTTTTCCAAAAATGAATTAAGTAAGCTTGTCACACCAAGGGAAAAAACTGATGTTTCTTGCCAATGATAAAATTCTAACTTTTAAGTGAAAATTATAATTTTTGAAAACATATCTGTTGTCAAGATCCTGACAGCTTCTCAATACACTAAGATTTTTTCCAATGATATTGGTGGCAGATAGACCGTAACAGAGTATGATACATTCATTGATACGATTAGACATTCCACATTTTTAACTAATCTTGAAAAAATTCTGTCACATTTTGGCGTGGTATCAAAAAAGTATATAAATAATTATCTGAAAAATACTCTTCCTTTTTCCAACTATATATCTGTATAAGTTTGGTTTTTTTTCTTCCATATTTCAACCAAAACAACCCATCAAGCCATGTGGAATGCAGAAGCAGATATGAGAAGTTGGCTTTTTTCTATTAGATCGTACATTAAAGAGACTTACAAATATGTAGAACACTTTGCTCTCCTTGGTAAATTTGTGTTTTTTTTTTTAATATTGTTTTTTCACTTAACTCCATGTTATTTCTGTTAACATAGTTTGTTACTGATATTTTTAAATGAGAAACTGACATTTAAATAATTTCTTCATTTTTATCTCCAGGGGGATGAACATCATAGAGATAACCCAGATAACCTAAAGCTTGTTGGGGTCCCTTAATGAAGAGTACGATGTCCTGACACCAAAATTTTGAGGACCACTGCTCTGAAGAAAGTGTCTGGTGCACACTAAGTGTTCAAAAGTTGTGTATTCTTGGGGCGCCTGGGTGGCTCAGTGGGTTAAGCCGCTGCCTTCAGCTCAGGTCATGATCCCAGGTCCTGGGTTCGAGCCCCGCATTGGGCTTTCTGCTCAGCGGGGAGCCTGCTTCCTCCTCTCTCTCTGCCTGCCTCTCTGCCTACTTGTGATTTCTCTCTGTCAAATAAATAAATAAAAATCTTTAAAAAAAAAAAAAAGTTGTGTATTCTCTATACATTTGGCAACAAAGCAAAGGAAGGAGAGATGATAAAAGCTAGAGCTGGCATCAGAGTTGAGAGGATACTTTTGAGAGTTTACAGTCTTGACTGCTTATGCTTCCAGGCCCTGGAGAAGGAGAAATTCCAAGTAGAGAAGTTATTTTGCAAACACCCAATCCAGACCATCTTGTGTCGCCCTCTTTTCCATGCTCTGTACCTTCTGTGAACTCTTTGCTGACCTTTCCATATCTTCTTTGACCTCTTCTGCAATCTCAGTGAACAGCTGTGCACTTTTTTTGAACTTTAACCAGAGTTATCCCCCACAGGGGATGCCGCATGGCTGGGTGGACCATGTGACAGTAAACTCAGTCCCTTGATCTTAGGGCTGTAGAGTCAGGCATAGGGCAGCTCCAGGTCAAAGGTGCTTTCCAGGTCTGTGTGGGGAATCCAGCACCGATCATTCCTGGGTGTTCCTTCCCATCCCACAGCCACCAGGCCTGAAGGTCCCCTACTGCAGAGAAACCTTTGAAGTGGCAGAAAAGAGTGGTATTCTTCCTTGTAGATACCTGGATTGGGAGCAAGGAGATGGTGGGGGGTGGGGAATTGAGGATGGGGGTGCAGCTAGAGGAGTGTGAAAGGGAAAGAGCAAGATGGACTATTGTTATGAACATTTCTGTCCATTTGTCTGGAACCCTTCATCTGAGATGCAGACAACCTGGGGAGAGATAGGGTTCTTGGAAA